TCATCGTATTCACCACATTTGATGAAAGCAACGCCAATATTATTCATTATTTTAATCCTAAAAAATACTTTTTTCCTCTAAGAAGAAAGATCAATTACTTTTTTTCAGTTCAAATTAACTGTAAAAAGAAAAAGTGAGGCGTGCAAAGTGGACAATAGTGAAGAAATTGTCAGCTGCATGAGTGGAGAGGAGAAATGCGACGATAAAACAAGAGTTCGTCAAAGCACCGAAAAAACTGTAATCATAAGTATAATATTATACAGAGATTTGCTTTGGCTATCAGGAATAGTCAATTTTTACTAAGTTGGATTTTATTGAAAATAAAAGATTTAATTCCTACTTTACTTATTAACTCTGTCTCCTATCACAGTGAAGCTAAATTTAGCCAGAAAAGTACTGAACTCAACTCATAAATACTTGCATAAGTTAATGCTCAAAAAAATTTTGGGAAACAAGTGAAGATGCTGGATTTTGTTATCGTGAATCTCAAACTCAGAGGGTTCTAAGCTAACTACTCCTCTTGGCACTGCATTGTTGGTCTAGCATAAATGCAAGTACAGAGAGTTTACTTGCCTTTTACTTTTCTGGAAGTTCGGCACTTGGTCCAGCGCCATGCGATAATATTTGATTGCTTTCTTGTAGTCCTTCTGCTTGAAATAGATGTTGGCAATGTTCACTTTGAGGCGGCTCGAGTTCGCGAACATTTTATTCTTTACGATCACCTGATAGGTATTCAGCGCTTCTGTCAACAGGTTATTCGCCATGTACTGTAATTCACTGCATTATCCAGGTTTTTGCGGAATGAGAAAAAAAGTCATATTTTTCTCCTCACTTTCTACTGAAAAATTCTGCTGAAAAAGGAGGAGTCTTTGCAAAAATAATAATGAATTCCAGCAAAATGGATACAGCAAATGAATGCGGTATCTCATATAAAGAATGGCCATGCTTTTCCAGGACGCCCAAGCAATTAAATCACTACAGTTTCGAATTCACTATTTTATTCCATTCAAAAATTATGGTGTCAGTTTGTATTTTTATGCAGTTAGGCTGAGTCAAGACTAAGTGGAAACTGAAGGCAGTTTCTTGTACTCGAGTGTTTATACATTTTTCCACGCTTTCTTAAGAATGACCAGCCTGATGCGCTAAATTGAAGAGCACAGTAAATGTCAGATCCAAATTGAGCTGCTCGACAACTGACAGCTGTTCACGCATTTTCACAACAGCTCGCTCGCGTCGGCCTGCTTCCTTAGCTTTTTCTAGTGCCTGAAATTTGAGAAATACGTGAAGCCTGAATTCTTTTCCGCAAATCGTCATGGTAAATAGCGCCACTTTTTAAAGGCCCCGAGGTTCGATTCCGCCGGTGGATAGTCAGTCTTTCTGTGATTTATTCATTTGTTTCGATGGTAAATTGATACTGACACATGCCATCATGGTTCTAGGAAACTCAAAAGAGAGAGACTGTGACGGAATTTGTTTGAGGTCGTAAGCCGGTTGAGTTACACGCAGCTGCTTGATGTTGGCCACGGCTGCCTTTTGGTGCGCAATTTGGACGATGTTGCATTGATTATTGGTTGCCTAGACTCTGCAGTAGCGATGTTGCGTCGAGACGAGTATTTATTGATGAACGGCGGTTATGACGAAAAAGTAACACAATTATTCGCAACAACAACAATGATGATCCCCACGGGGGAAAACTGCGTTTATATTGTCCATGGCCCGACAAGCGAGTAGCACTAGTCCGACCACACTGGCCCAGCAATACCCACCAAGGATCATGCCTCATTGATCACGAACGCGCTACTGCTTTCGTGACAGAGACATCAACATTTTTTCCTCCGAGTGGTTACTGTTTGCAGTTGCCACGCACGAAATACTTCAGGTTGCTTCGGCTTGGTACAGAAGGAGAATATGAAAGAGGTTTTAACCTCTGACTTTAGCGTAGGGTTATGCAACTGAGCAAACTGGGGAAAATGAAACAACTGAAAATGCAGAAAAAATATGAGCTAGCAGATCCTGTGAGATAACATTATTAAATTAACTGCTGTAAACGACTGACCTGTTTCATTTGCCCTTTCTCCCAGGCAAAAATGCTTTCCTTGAGGAGCTCGTTCACCTTTTTTTCCATCTGGCGACACTTCTCTTCATTGCTTTCGTCCGGTGGCTTTTCCGTAACATTCATCTTCAGCGGATTAAACGATGCTCCTTGAATTTGCAGTAATTACGTAAAAAACTGCTGCAACGAGGAATAATTTAGGTTTGAAATAGGCCCAAAGAAGACTAAAATTATGCACAGAGGAACTTAGAAAGCCGGGGGTTAAGTAATTAGAAACAGCATGCAGTAAGGTCTGAAATTTTTTTTACAATTTTGTTTCTGTGTATTTCGAAACTCAGAAAATATCTTGGTTTCTAATTCATCAGCTTTTATGCGTCTTGCTCGGTAACACTGGTGCAAAA